AATTTTTTGTTTTTAAGTTTTTGTTTGGTTATAAATTTGTTGTGTATCTTCGTTCATATTAGTGTTTATAAAACACTATATATATATATATATATATATATATATATATATATATATATATATATATATATATATATATATATATATATATATATATATATATATATATATATATATATATATATATATATAAGTAAAGTAAAGCAACTGTTTAACACTTAAAGATGTTTTGACATGACTAAGGAAGATAATATTATTAATAATAAGTAAAACACATATTGGTTATCTTTAAATGAAAATTTATTTATTTTTTTAGGTGCTCCCAGAATTCCTTACGGTCTTATCGCGGAGCACCGCGAGAGAGCATTTAACTAGAAGTTCACGCCTCCTTCCTTACCAATGTCGGTTTTTGGGCTAGAGCCGGCGTCGAAACTCAGACCTCTGGGTTCTGAGCCAGAACTCTAACCACTGCGCCACGGCTGCTAATTAAATATAGCTTCTTTTGAAGTAATGGCATTTAAACATAAAAACATATTTTTTCAACCCTTAATTCAGTACATTATGTCCTATTTCCTGTAGGATTTGCTCTAAGCAATCACTAGGAGAAGTTAACTCACTCTTAAAATACTTCTGCCTTTAGGCTTTTAGCTGAGTAAAGGCTAGAAGTGATATCTCAATAAAAAAACTTATCTTGGACAGATGTTTGTTGCATCCGGCTAATGTCTTGAAGAAGGTCTCTTAAGTGACCCGAATAAAAAAAAAACTTTTTGCAAACCTGGCCCTAGCAAAAATATAAGATTTAGCAGGAGTTGATAGACAGGGCTAAAAAAAATTTATAATACTTAAAATATTATAATTTTATACTTACATTTACTATTTATTAAATACTGGCATACATTTATATATTTTTAAACTTTAATTTACTTCCAACAAGGTTGCAAGCAACCATTATTAAGTTATGAGATACTTTAAATAGAGAATAAGTTAAAATACTAGGAAACGTAAAACTGAAGACTTAAAAAGTTGTAAGTTTTATAAAAATGAAAACATGAAGACGGGTAAGAGTTGTAAGGTTTTTATAATGTTCAAGAAAAAAAACTGGATTAATATAGGTTTTTTTAGCATGAAGGCATAGATACAGTAAAAGTAACAACTGTTGAATAAAAAGTTAAGCAAGAAATACTTTTGGTTTATCTTTAATATTGATTATAGGTTGTTTGAGCATTGACCATGATTGTATTAGTAGAAAAAAGAAAGAAATGCAACCTTACAACAATGGGAGAGTGGCTCAAGCTTGGCAGATAAAGCAGGTCTTATTACATTTACAGTGTGCTTTTAAACTTTGTCTGAGAGTAAGGGGGTTGTTACTTGTCAATATAGGAATGCCAACAATATTGCAACATTTTTTTGCAGTAAATAAATGAGTTTTGTCGTCTAACAAAAATTGTAGGTTTTAAGTTCAGAATTTAAATCCATAAGCCACTGCAAGCCTTATATTGTTACAGAAGAGAGTTCAGATTTGAAATTGGCTGCTTGTTCTAAGCAATTAAAAAGTGAAGATTTTTTGTCAAAACATGAGTATAAAATTGAGTCATTAGCAAATAGAGCCACTTTAGATTTCATGAAGATCCTTATTGTAGATAAACAATACAGGAGCAAAGATAGAAACCTATGGTAATCTTAAAGTTACTTGAAATAAAGAAGAGGGTAGGCCTTCAAGAATAACTTTGCTATTGCATTTATAAAAAAATAATTTCATAACCTCAAAACCTTTATATAAAGAAACTAATAACAGAGTGAAGACTAATCATAGGATAGTTAGAGAGGTCAAAGTGTTTTCTAGAGTTTTGAAAAATTGGAGCTACTTATTTAGCACTTTTTAAAAGTTTAGCAAAAACTGAAGAGCGTTCTGGAGAACACTTTTTTAAGACTATAACGGAAATCTATTCTCGAGCACAAACTATAGAAGTGTTTAAATAAGAATTAACTTTATCATTGGAAGCTACTGTGATTTCCATGTTTAACAATGGGTTAGTCTGCTTAACTGTCAAGAAGAATATGGCCATTATATTCAAGAATCAAATTAGAATAAGATTTCTTTGCAAATGACTGTGCTTTTTTCTGGGCAGAAGTAAAAAAGATCAGACCCATGAATTAGAAATAAAAGGTAGATTTATTTTAGTTAATGAAGAATAATTAAAAGTCTCTAGAACCTAACACCAACGATACGATACAAGATTTAGTAAACTAAGAATAACAGAGCTTAACAACAGACAGACCTTTTTTGCATTGTCTTCTTGCAATAATAAACCACATTTATTCTTAAGAGAGAAGTTCTTGAGAAAAAGGTTATAAAAATGATAAATGTTTAATAACGCAACTGCCCAAGATCATGAAAAATTTGGAGTAGAATGAGGCTTGACCTAAAATTGAAGAGAAGTAATAAAAGCTTCCAAACTTTTATTCCAGAAGGAATAAAAGCTTCCAAGATGCACTTTATGCATACATATTACGGAAATAAACATATATATTTTCCTATTTATTTAGATGCTGGTATACAATATTCTTTCATTATTATCTAAACTTTAGTATTTAAATGGCGTAGTATTTGCCGAAAGAGAAGATGATCAAATAGATGTGTGATGTGATTCTAGCCAGACAAGCACAGGAGGCATAATTTTAGACAGATTAGAAAAAGTGTTGTATTGAACAAGGTTTGTTAAAAAAGGTTTAAGTAATTTAGATATCAGCATTGAGAGAGGTAGCAGCTTCAGTAGAAAATGGTAGTGGTAGAAGTAAGAAACTTAAAGAGAGTGCCTTAAATATTGTATGAGAGAGCTTTAGTTAAGAAAAAATGCTGCTGATTATTTATAATGTGGAGCCTGATGATGATGATTATGATGATGATCATAGTCATCATCATCGAACTATACGGTAGCTCTCTGATTTTTATGTGCTTCTATTTAGCGCCTCTTCACTCAATCACCTTTCTCTTTGTTTTTTATCGTTCTTCTCTCAAGACTGCACTCTTTTCAATTATATTTCTAATCAAATTGACTGTGTCCTTTATCCATTATTAGACTATTATTGTTATTGATGACTTAAATGCTAATCACAATTATTTTTTTGGTACCACGACCCTGCTTTGAGCTTTTCCTCTGAAAGTTAAACTTGAGGAACTCATGTCGTTAATGTTGTAGTTTCAAATATTTTTATGTATTTTCAGTCCTATGAATGATTCATCAACTGCACTATTCATGTGGTTTATTATATGTTTATTATACAGAAACTAAAAACTTGTTGTTTTTTTTATTTACATACTTTATTCTCACTGAATGTGATTAGAGCAAAAAAAATTGCTTTTTATATATTTAAATACAGCTCCTAATTCCCTACTAGCAAAAAAATTCCAATTTTTTTTTGATTGTAAAAAAACTTTACTAATTCTTTTAATCCCATTTTTCTATATTAATTTTTAATGGTTTTTATTATTTATTTTTTTACTTACAAATGTTCTATATTTTTATTATATTTTTCCTTTTTTTTTAATTTAGTTTAATCTTTGTCATTGCTTAGTGGTAAGGTTATCTTTTATATTTTAATTGAAAAGATAGTAGAAATTATAAATATTTTCATTTCTAATTTTTCTTTTTTTTTTTTTATTTAGCTTGTCTACTGTTGAAATCTGGTTTTGATTTAGTAAATTTTCATGATGTGAAATTTACTATAATAATCATTAGCCAACAGTAATTGCAAAAAGTAAATGAATTCAATACAGTTAAGGTAACCATCATATTGTTTTATAACCTTTACTCCATACTTTTAATGCAGATTTCATTGATATTTTTATATTCGCAACTGAAAAGTGTTTTAAATGTGTTTTAAAAAATAAATGAAGAGGGTTGAAATCTCTCCTTTTTTTTTTTGAGTTGAGTTTTCCTAACTGTATTTATATTATAACTAGTTGATATAACCCGTACGATACGGGTCGTGGCAAATCTAATCCACACCCGACATTTTCTAAACTTGTTCCTTAGTCTTTATAATATAATTTATTTTAGTAAACGGCAAAAAATAAATCAACTTAATGTTCTGGTAGATGGTAAAATACGAACTTTAAAATATGGTAAATTTTAAAAAATGCGAACCATAAATCTATCCCTCGTTAAATTTTAAATAACTTGAAAGAGCAGTCTAATTTAAATAAAATATATCGAATACCAAAAAATTTAATTTAAAAGCAAATGTTTTTAATATCATGACTGTTGTGGTCATTAAAATGTATTGGTTCGCAAAAAAGTACAGTTTAAATTATTACTGAAAACTTAAAGTTCTTGGTTTTTAATTTTTTGATATTAATATATTAATAAAAAAGTAATAATGAAATAATAATTATTATTTTAATTATTATTACATTATTACTTATTTACTTTAATATTTTCTCCATAATAAAAGTGTCTTTAGCATATAAGACAGTTGCGTAAAACTTAGGCTATAATAATATTTTAACACTCTCATAAGGATTTATTAAAAAAGCAAATTAGGACATTACAAAATGGGCCCAAGAGACCTAGATATTCAAATAAGTTAGCTTTATCTGTTTGATATATTTTATAAAAGCCTTTTTCGTAAAAAAATTCTTGATAGATTTATACAACTAAACTATTTTAACTGCGGAAAAATTCTTGACAAATTCATACAATTAAACTATTTTTAGGCAAATAAATTTTTAAACCTGTTGTTTATGCAATTGATACTTAATGAAAATGGAAACCGTCTTGATCGTACAAAAAGTTATAAAAGTATAAATGGTTTCCATTCACACATAAAAAGATAACGAAATATAACAAACGAAACAAAAATAGCAAATATATATCCATTCAAAACAATAATTTCAAAAACAAAAAATAAAGGAATTTATTTGAGAAACAAACAATAAATTTTCTTGAGATAAATTAAAAAAATTAACTTGAAAAAAAAAAAAAAAAAAATCCGAAAAATTTTATATTTAAAAATACTTATAAAAACAATTTAATTTGTAACATTTTTTCATTATTATATATCTTTTAGTAAATAGTTTGAAGATTATCAAGCTTCGTTTTAGCTTTTTGAATACAATCAACCTTCGACCATATAAACTGATAGACCCGCCGTAAGTTATATATTTTGAAGCCAACATCTTTTAGCGCGTGACGTCACGTTTGGGCAAAACAAAACGCGATTCAAGCGAAATAAAGCTTTAAGAATAGAAAACTGTTTATTAAATGTAAAATTTTGTAGAAAAAACCATATTACTATTATTATTATTTTTTTAAATATGATTAAATTTATCATTTGTATCAATTATTATTTTTAGATTTCTTAGATAAGAAAACGTAACAGTTAATACAATTTTATGTATTTTATTATCCATTACATAATATACAAAACAACTTTTTATTGATTCGAAAATTAAATTTGCTTTGTTAATACACTTTGTATACGTTTATTATGTAGTAAATTGTTGATCAAGTCAGTTTTGTGGTGCAATCTTATCTTTAAATACTAAGCAATATTAGTTTTATAATTTCTTCACCACTTTCATAAATAAATTACAGACAACGCTTAACAATATTAGATTTTTCACAACCATCTAAACTATTAATTAAAAATTATACATCAGGAAGTTTCCAACGTCCATTTACACAGTTTACCATAAAAACTAAAGTTTCTTTTGTTTTGGGTTAACTATTATTATTGATATCAGCACAAAAATCAATATAACTAGAAAATTTATGGCCTTTTTATTCAATTTTTTTTTCAAATGGTCATTTCATCTTACATAAATGAACACACAATATGTTGACCAATTTTCTGAGCCTCTTTTATTTTGCTATGAAGAGTAACTAAAGCTTCTTTACAAAATCCAGGGAAACAGTCAACACTTTTATGCCATTTTGTATAATTCCAGGATGAAGAAGTGCATTACTAAATGTTTTCCTAACATAACTATATGCTTTAGCAGAATAAAAATTTAATGTTAAATCAAGGTTGTTAACAAGGCCAAAATTAGCAAGGACATGGCCAAAGCCACATGTTACAAGACTAAAGCCAAGACCAATGCCAAAAGTTACAAGGTCAAAGCCTGGAATTTTAAAGTCAAGGCCAAGAATAAAAATATTTTCAAGCCCAAAGACTTGAATTTTTGTCTAACGTTAAGATCAATTATTAACAAAACTGTAGGTAACAATTCCTGTTACAATAAACCACATGTTGTAAAAATAAACCAGGGTTATGCCCAAAATTCTATGAAGTCAATAAAAAACATACTTGTGGATATGTATGAAGCCGAAAACAAAAATACATAAAAATAAAGAATGAAATCTTTTAATTCTTCAATTTTAGGTACTTTTATTGAAGACCAAGGCCAAGACCAAGACAAACAGTTTTAAGACCAAGGCCTTAAGTCAAGGTCAAAGCCTAGGACTAACAACTTTGTGTTGTAGCAAAGCTTCATAATTCTGGTGGGTAATGCTTTTTAACTTTTCTTGTAAAATCCGACAATATAACTGTTTTGTAGACTCAGGCATAGCTCCCTAAAATTAAATAGATTAAATAAATACATTTTTAGTTACAACATATTTATACTTGAAAACCCAATCAAGTAAATTAGGGCATCGTTGATTAAGGTATCAAGAAATAGATGAAAATATCACAATAGCATTAGAATTATAACAACAATTATTACTGTTATGACAAACACAATAATTAACTTATTGCTATTCTTACCGTAATTGTGATGAATTAAAATTTTCCTTAACTGTTATCTGATGATTAATGTAATAAGTTTTTAATCATAAAAACTTATTAATTTAAAACCATATTTTAACAGTAGGTTGACTAAAACAAAATATTTCTAAAGGTATAACTAAATAAGAAATAAGAAACAAATATTTAAAATAATGAAATAGACAAATAAAATAAAATATGTTCAACAACTACTCTTAATAAAAATATATATTATACCATTAGTGTAATTGATACTTCTTCGGAAATCATAGTATGATTCATGATTTTGATTCATCATATGATTTATACTTTTTGATTTAAAATGATGAAGGTATGAATGTAAGTCTTTAATCCTTTTTATTAAACAACAGTTGGATGACTGAAGCATTTTAATTGTATTTAAATATATTGTTTACCATTGGTGTTAGGATTGATTTCACACTTTTCAACAATGTTTTTAAAACCATAAAGATATTATTGTCACAAAAAGTAAACTCAAACATTTACATCAATATATGATATTGTAAAAGTAATTGTAAAGTATGTCATTGTAATGTATTTAAATTAGATTTACTGTATTAAATTACTGGTGATATTATTGTTAACATAAATGATATAGTTATCAACATTGTTCCTAAAAAAATATATATATATATATATATATATATATATATATATATATATATATATATATATATATATATATATATATATATATATATATATATATATATATTTACGAACAATAATGTTGATAATCATACCATTAATGTTAACATTAGACTTACTGTATAACATTAATGTTATACAGTAAGTCTGATGCGTATATATATATATATATATATATATATATATATATATATATATATATATATATATATATATATATATATATATATATATATATATATATATATATATATAGGCACACAATAGATATGTTACAAAAACTAAACTTAAAAGTTTTAAATCAATATATGTCATTGCAAAAAGATTAGTTACATTAGACTTACTGTATTTGAATCATTGGTGATAATATTTGAAATAATTATTTGTCTATATTTTTTGGTAGTTTTCTAGAATAAATACTTTTTCATAAAAGTGTTGGGAAATTAAATATAGAAGAAATTGCATTTTTTTTTTAGTTTCTTTTGTGAACTCGAAAGACTTCCTTTATACCAGTGAAATATTTACCACAACGTTTAGACAGCTTACTAGGAGTAAAACCATCACTCCACATAACTTGTATCCATTTTCTCCTCAATTCTATATCTTTCAGAAAACTACCAACAAAAATAAGCATATTAAAATAATATGCTATTTATATTTAAAATATAATGTAGGATTTTAGCAAATAATGATTTGTAGCTACTTACACATGAAAAGAAACCCTTTTAATATATCTTTAAGTGCAATTATATGCAAAACAAGATAACATCATGATCTTTATATATCTATATTCTATTTGAAAATCAAAATTTAAACAAAATAATATACATAACAAATAATAAAACTTTAAAAATGTTAAATACATTCACCCTAAACCGATATTATAAATTGTTTAATGCCCAAACGTGACGTCACGCGCTAAAAGATGTTGGCTTCAAAGTTGTGTGAATATTTACTGGCGGTAAGGCGTGTCTATCAGTTTATATGGTCGAAGCAATCAACATTCAGAACATTTCAGTCACTGGATAACGAATTCGACCTAAAAATAGAACAAAATTATTATTGAATACACTTAATACACATTAATTTGTTATGTACTTTATTTATTCATTTGAAAACTCAAAAATGTGACTAAACAGATAACAAATGAGAAATTTACTTTGTGAGGTTGTTTATCTTTTGTGAATATTTCAACATTTATTGTTGCAAGTTTGGATTAACTAAAAATTTATGATCACAATAAGATATACTTTTTTTTATTTAAAAACTGAATCTTTAGCATTTAACAAATGACTATATAAAGTCAGTTTAAGTAATAAAACTACCCAATAATCATTTTAAATTAAAGATCTTGACGTGAAAGTAAACCAAGCCATCTAATCTACTAACACAAAACAAAACAAAATTAACATCACAAAATTAAAAAAATAACATAATATTTTACAGTAAACTCTAAATTACTCAAACCTTAAAGGATACCAAGAAATTAGCTTGTTAGAGAAAGATAGAGTTATTGGCAGTATAATCCATAAATAAAGGCTCAAATGAAACTTTAAAATTAGTTTATATTAAGAGCTATTGAATTATACAGACTTTATTGTTCATATTTCAACTACTAATAGCACACACATAAAAACACTAACAAATCACGACATCATATGACACATAAAAAAACTTGTCAAAAACTATAAATTAAGGAGACTTACGAATATAATATTTATGAAATTTTCATTCAATGACAAACCTTCTTTATGCATGTGTATATGCAAATGTTGTGCAAATGACTTGTCATGCAAGTGTCATTACAAATGCATGACAAGTCATTTGCAAATGACTTGGTCATACAAGTGTCATTACAAATGCATGACAAGTCATTTGCAAATGACTTAGAACATACGACATATTTAATGTAGCATGAATAGACATAATTATTTATAGGAAAAGATACTACTTATAAAAAATCTTTTATAAAAAGGAACTTTTTTGTAAAACATTTTTTGAAACTAAAAACTTTTATGATTTTATTCAAATTCTTTGAGAACAATAACGTTTCAATAACGTTTCAATAACGTTTCAATAACGTTTCAATAACGTTTGTAGGCTTCTAAATCAGCTTATTTTGTTAAAAAGTCAAATTTGATTTTTTTACTGTAAAGCTTTTTTTAAAAATGACTACCGTATTATAAAATAGTATTGTAAAATAAAAGCAATCAATTAATGTACTAAGTCAAGTATGAGTACAACAACATTTTAATAAGCCAAAAGAAGCAGTAAGAGCTAGATATTAAAAAAATACAATAATAATACTACACTCTAGCTGTAAACTCACAAGCCAATTCAAAACACTTTAAGGCCACGGAAACAACATAACCACTTACGCATAACACATATTGAAGCACTTTGTATATTATAGGAACTTATACATTTATGAAACAGAATTTATGATTGCATCAAATTATTTAAAACAAAGTTTAAAACCCTATAACTGATACAACAGATATTACAGATTATAACAGAGTTAATAAAGATTTGAGAATACCTTATCATGTGGCCAAAAAATATAAAGTAATATATTATATGGTCAAGTGTAACAATACGCACGAATGAGTAACACACACCAATGAGTAAGCAGCATTAAATTAAACATTAATTATATAAGACTAATCAGGTTTCTGCATTCTGAATGACACTGCTACATTAGGATTATATATATTTAACTGATAATACGTGGGTAGAAAACTTTCTCCGGGCCTTAAATTTCCACCATGATGCAAAATTTGCCCTAAAACCCCAAAACAGAAAGGACAATTATTTGTGGGGTGAAGTACTTTGGAAGGAAGCAAAAGGTAAAAAGGAATTATAACACCTATTGTGATATCTTTTATTTCTACTTCAGTTTATTTTAGCTTACCTAGGCTCATCTAATTCATTTTGGCGACGGTTAAATTTATTTTGCCCAGCCTTTTTTCTTCAATTTCAACGAAACCTTATAATTTTTCTTCTTTAGTTATCAGACGTAACTAAGCATCAAAGAAGTGTGTAAAAATGATGCACTCAGTCTTGAAATAAAAATTTGCACTTTTATTTCAAGATTAAACTGTTAGTTTTCTTTCTTAACTTATCTAAAATAACAATGTGTAGGTACGTGGAAATATCCGTTTTACGGAACCGAATATTGTGCTAAAAAACTGTGCTTTTTAGATTTTTTTTTAGATTAAAACACGTTTTTTAGATTTTTTTTTTAGCTAGCATAGGGAAGACGTGTTTAATTAAAAAACTTTTTAGAATTTAATATCAGTATAGATTATTTTTAGAAACTAGAATAGTTAAACTTTATTACTGTGAGGTTTATTATTTTACTAAATGGCTTTTTTATTGAGTTTTTTGATATCTAAAACTTTGTTGTACTTTGGGCATGAAATTAATGTCGAAGATATGCTCATTTTTTTTTCTAAACTATTCTTTTTTTTAAGTTTTTCATTTATCTATGCACCTGGAAAATTTCATTGAAAAAAAAGTTGTAGCAGAGTGTCTATTTTTTGTCGCACTTTTGGTACCTAATTTTCACTTTGCTGGTGGTCGCGGGAGACAGAGGGGTTAAATAGACATTGTTTATATTTGATTTTGATTAAATAAAATTTTCAGTTTTTTTTTTTAGATTAAATAAAATGGAAAGTAGAGATATTGATAAAAGTTTTTAATATTGTTTCCTATTTATTAAATTATTTATAAATTATTTGCCTTCAATGTAAAGTTGTAATGTTTCCTACTTTAAAGTTGAATTTTTTAAAAATGTAACTGACATATTTGTAATATTATAACATATTTTATCTTACATTGTAAGTCTCTCCAATAACAATTGAAATATGCTACTACTTGTTGTATCATGCATCTTTTTTTAAAGTTGTTTATTTATTATATAATTATATAATTATATAATTATATATATTAATATATTCCTCACTGTTTCATGCTTTTTATTGAATCATTGTTATTTTTTTTCTACAGGCAATTTAGAACAAATTATAAGTAAGTAAAGTTTGAAATATTTTAGTTATTTAGTCATTTAAACTTTTTTTTTGTAATGTTAGTGTTATAAATTAATCTTATAATAAAGTAAGTAATTTAAAGTTGGCTTTTAGATGAATTTAGACAGCAGATTTGTATTTTAAGTAAATTTTAATAATTTCAATAGTATAGTTTAATGATACATGCTAACTAAAGATTATTACTTAATTGATACACAAGCTAAAGGTGTTTGATTTATTGATACACACTAACTAAAGATGTTGTAGCAAAATTTGTAACTTGAAATTAAGTTTATTTTAGTAAACATTATATTACCATTGTTATTACTTATTTCTTTTTAACTCTTTAGCAACACTTACTTCATTAATTAGTAAGAGATTAATGTGTATTTTTATGTGTATGTATTGAGAAATATAGTCTGATTTTGTGGATTATGCAGTATTATACTATTTAATATGTGCTATGTTATTGTATATTTAATATGTACTATATATGTATATTTAATATGTAATATTTACATGTACCATTTAATCTTTTGTGTCATTGTATTATTTAATTTTTAATATCCTTGTCATCTGTTGCAGCTGGTAAGGTTTTTATATTATTAATTTGAGAGATAAAGTAATTAAATGCAAGTTCATGTAACGCGTATAAATAGAGTTAGCAATCGATTGTATCAGGCTAAAATTAGAGACAATATTTCCCAAAGACAGACATCCAAGTGCCAAAAAATCAATGAAACAGAAAAAAGTTAGAGCAAAAAAAAGTTAGAGCGTTAGCTATCCAAATTGAGTTATGATAAAGTTATAGGTTCATACAAATATTTGTCTATGACCAACTTTATAATTTAGAAGATATCATGTATTGAAGAATTGTAGGCAAAAAACTATATCATGAATGATATGATCCTAAACATCCAAGCCTGTTTTGTACAATGGCAGAGTAGAAAAAGTATTTAGTTGAAAAATGACTTAGTTTACACTATTTCTTACTGGAAAGATGATGAAACGTATATGGAAGCTGTTGACCATTGCATGAAAAAGATCCAGCTTGTTGCAAATGTTATTTCAGAAGAGTTACAATTTTATTAATTTTATATTATATTAACAAAACACTGTGAAAGTACAAGTTTGAAATTTAAGCTAAAAAAGTACTACAAATGAATTGCTGAAAAATACTACCAGTGTTGTGACTAGCCAAAAGAAATTTATTATTGTAATCATTCACTAAAAGCCAAGACAAAACTATATGAGATAAAAAATAAACAAACCATTATTATTTCTTTTTAATAACATTTTATTTGTTTTTTAGTTTGAAACAGCCAAAGTGCTATTTGAACGATTTAAAAATTATTAAAGGTTGTTTAATTAAATAGGTATCAAAGCTGTCGAACATTGCATGAAAAAGTTTCAGCTTGTTGCAGATATTGTTTCCAGAGAGTTGACTAGATATTATTTTGTTAAAACACTGCAAATATATAAATTTGAAATTTATAGATTAAAAAACTGCAAGTACTGTGACTTGTTTTTAAAAAAAAGTACTGCTAGTGTTGTGACTTGCTAAAAAAGAGTACTGCAAGTGTTGTGATTTGCTAAACAAAAGTACTTCAAGTGTTGTGACTTGCTAAAAAAAAGTACACTATGTGCTGTGACTTGCTAAAAATAGTACTGCAAGTTTTGTGACTTGCTAAACAAAAGTACTGCAAGCGTTGTAACTTGCTATGTATTTTTGATAGACGGCTCTGGCTTACCTTCACGCAGTGTCTATTGTTAAAAATGATTATAAAATAATTTCATAAGTATAATTTATCATTGTAATCATTCACTAAAAGCTAAGAAAAAACTTTATGAAACAAAGCATCATTAAAATAATCAAACATTATTTAGTGTTAATAACATTTTATTTATTTTTTAGTTTGAAACAGCCTAACTAAGGTTGGTAAATACCTTGTTTTGATTACCTTTTTACCACTATTGACTGATAATAGAAGTCACTCTGAATGAGAATATTTTAACCAAAAACTCTCCAATTAATCAAAAATGCTTTTTTTTTTAAAAAAAATGTAACTTTTACTGGGTTAGATATATTTTTTACTTCTTTGTTGTTGTTCTTTAAATAACCAATCAAATATTTCATAATTAAATTTTTTTTTGCAATATTAGGGTGTGTTAAAACATGGTCAACACATTTAACATGAGTTTTACACTTACATTCAATGTTTGGTGGTTGTCCAGTATTAATTTATAGAACCTTTTTATAGAAAAAAACTTTTAATTTATAGAACCTTTTACAGAAAAAAACTTTGTTTTGGGACTTTAGAAAACATAGTTGTGTCATTTTAATTTTTTTGAATTTTTTTTTTTACGTTGGGGAGGGGGGGAGGTAGAGTTATTCGCCCCTCCCATACATCGATGTAAACACGACTTAAATTCGTAATAGTACCACCACGTAAATTCTTGTAGAACATAATTTTATATTGTATACTAATTGAATTCATTTTAGTAAAGATAAAAATATTTATGAAAACAAGTCTTTTTTGATACTAGGGTGTATCAAACCATCACCACCACAACTACCTCCAACGTTAACATACGCCTCTCATATACTCTGGTGGTTAAATATAATTTTATAACTATGTTTTTGTATATTTAAAATACTTATGTTTTGAAAAAAGACTTTTTTGTCTGAAAAAAAAAAGTCTTTTTTCAAGAAAAAATGTTTAGTTTTATACGGGTAAGGTGGTGGTTTGGTGCCCCCTCTGTCCATCCGATACACCTGGTGGTTAGAGTTTAACAAAAATTTGTAGCCCACTCTTACACCTATCTTTTGACACCAAGGTATTTGTATTTCAATAAGAATTAATAAAGTTATGACAATTTAAGTGAAGAAAAACATAATTATGACCACAGTTTCTTCAACAATTCCATATATCAAAAAATCGGTACTTAAACTGTCATAACTTTTGAACCAACTGTTCGTTTTTAATAATTTTTTCACCTCTAAAATACTGTATTGGTCCTCTTTATAATGATATATAACAGTAGAATATTTAAACAATTTGAAATTTTTACTAACGTACCTACAATGTGTAAAGATAAAATGTTTCTATAAAAACTTAAATTAAAGTTATATAAAAACTGATATAATATTGATTAATTGATACCTGAGTAATGTTATATATTTAATATAGTCATTAATAATTATTGACAAAATATGATTAGTATTTGATCAAAAAAACAACAAAAAGTAATTAATATAAGTTTCAAAATTTTACAGATAAGAATTCATAAATAAAACAAATCGAAAAAATTATAAGTGCTGTCTGCTCAGCAAATACTGCTAGCATCAAACAGTGGAGTGTAATCCTTTGTCAAAAAATCCTTTCATTACTTTAAAACGCATTTAATGCAAGGTTTGCAATTAATAAGTAAATATAAAACTATTAATAGTAAATACAAAACTATTAATTTATGTATTTCATCATAACAGTGCACCACTTAACTGGCATGGACAAAAATCTTGCTCCCAACAAAGCATAGTCAAATTATAGCAAAGTACACCACTTGGCTAGAAAAACCAACACTCTTGCTGTAAACTAAGCCAAGTCATAATAATTTGAAAAGATATTTACAAACAAATAAATGCTATTTACACACTTACAAAATATAAACCCATATAAACTTAACACATAAACAAAAATAACATAAACAACACATAAATATAAATAATATAATAAAAATATAAAAATCAAGAAAAATATATAATTTAGAAACTTAATAAATACAACCTTATTTTTGTAATAATATTACATGTCGTTAAACAAATATTACTAATAATTGTTTAATGACATTTCTCGTATAATAATTTTTGTAATATTTGTTTAATGACATACCTCGTATAATAAATGTTTAACAACTTGGAAAAACAAACGATCTGGTTTTTTATAAAAAGCAAACAGATTTTTTTTTAACTTCTTTAAAGGTAAGGTATTTAACGTTGTTCTTTCTTATTTTTTAACATGTAACTGTGTGAGATGCAAGAGTTTAGGAGATATGTATATATAACACTAACTTTATCAAGAGTTTGAACTTTTAAA